TATGATGAGTTGTGGGGAGAGAAACAACATGAATTTCTGAATTAAAGATGAGCTGAGAACATGGCTCACAAACAATAGCATTGACCTTCAGTGATATCAAGAATTGGTGTTTGTTTTTTGCTTGTTTGTTGTATTACCACGCAGTCAGCAATATTCCAGCTGTATGGCAGCGGGATGTGAATAATACAGTCTGGGCCAGACAACGTCATGAGCATCGATTTACGCAAATGAGATGACGTGTGTTAACCAAGTCACCGAGTCTGACCATCCGACCTCGTTAGTTGCCGCTAACCTGGGAATTGTAATAATTACTAGTGTCTGTGGACTTTCACTTTAGATTTTTGCTCAGATGTGCAGATTACGTCAGATCGGAGTATCATTAAGGATATCAAAGTATCAGCAAGGATGTCGGAGTATCCGTAAGGATATCAAAGCATCAGTAAGGATATCAAAGTATCAGTAATGATATCAAAGCATCGGTAAGGATATCGGAGTATCAGTAAGTATATGGGAGTATCCGTAAGGATATCAAAGTATCAGTATGGATATCTTTAAGCATCAGTAAGGATATCAAAGTATCAGTAAGGATATCGTGGTACCATTAAGGATATCAGAGTATCAGTACGGACATCCAGTCAGTCAATCAATATTTATTTCCGCACTCAGGAGGCCTCAGGTCTATAGTACAAACACAGTGAACAATTGATCAGTTAGTGGAAGTGTTGAGAATGTAATGTTTTATGTATGTGGTAGCGTAATAGATATATATAGATATTCTTTCTATATGTACTTTACTAGAATTTGTTAAAAGGGATATGAATTTGTAAATTTCAGGATGTACATAGTAGTAGTTGAGTTGAGTTTGGCTTTACGTCACATCGGCATTATTCCAGCCATATAGTGACGAGAACAAGTCTGCATTAATAAACATTGTAGGCACAGAGTCACAATGAGTTATATTTCAAAAACATATATTCATTACATTGTCATTTAAAAGCAGAAAAAGTCATAGCACTAAATTTAAAGGCAGGCAATTTGTTAGTCACATTCCACAGTTACAATTTATGAGTAGCTCTTAACATGCTTATTTCTCAACACATAATAGGCTGGGAATATACATAGAAAATGGTACTCGTCTTTATTACATTCAGCTTACACATTTGTACATATCCTATGTTCTTTTATCTAGCCTAAATACCTATAAGATTCTATTAGCAAATCATGAGTTGAACAGCGGAATTGCGCATGGCTTATTCTGAATTTCTTTCCTACGTTTGACACAGACAGATACTGTTCTTTGTGGACAGATACTGTTCATATTTGCTTCAATATATAAGGGAAATCTACCACACTCGCCATATACTGCTGAATTACATGTATTAATTTTTACCCCTAAATATTTCTTACAAGCATATAAATGAACTTGTTCTATCGCATCGGACGCTTTGATTCCCCAGATCTCAGCGCCATACAAAAGAAAAGGGCATATTTTAGCATAAAAAATCTTAAAAAGAGTTGTATGATAAGTCACCAAGTGTTTTTATATATTCCATAATGCCTATCAAAATCGATTTACCTTGCAATGCAACACCTAAATATTTATATGAATTACTTACTTCAATAGCATCACCTTTCTAATACCATTTTTCACCTTTTGCCAATTATCACCATTCTTAAAAACAACTACTTTTGTCTTAATTTTATTAACAGTCAATTTATGATCATTGCAGTAATTTTCTAATTCATTTATCAAGTTTTGTGAACCACCTGTTGTACTAGAGAAGAGTATGATATCATCAGCAAATAGTAATAAAAAATTTGAATTATATCTGGATGTAACTGAATTCCATTCGTAGAGTTCCTTGGATCTGGATCGCCAAGTCATTGATGGGGCGGTGGGGTAGACGGTAACCTCCCAAAACTTAGACAGCCATATCACAGACAGCTTAAAACAACAACATTTCTGGTTCAGTGCACAACTAATCCTCAAGCTGATACCTATTTCTTATAATGGATCAGTCAAGTAGAATCAATTAGACAAAACGTCAGCATATTTATTACAAGTTCAACAGAGATAAAAAAAATAAATAGTAAATATTAAATATGGTACTATGTTGATCAAGTCCACTGCATTTCCACAAAAGTTCCCTAAAATATAATAGTTGTACGTAACATAACATTTAATTTGCACATAACATGTAATGCTTACTAGTCATTATCATGACACCCTTGGCACATTAAGCACAGCATTTATTTGATACAAAATTTCCCTAACCAAGATGAAGCAAATGTCCAACTGTATCAAGGAACTGGATGTGTGTTTTCTCGGCTTGCTGAAGTTGCTGCTTGAGTCTTTCCAATCTGTTTTCAATCTCGCGGTAGATTCTCTTTCTGCTGGGTAGGGCTACTCCGAAAGTTAACTGCGACAGCTTAGCTCTATCAGCATTCTCTATTCTCCTGATAATTTCGATGAACCGAAAGATGTTAGGATGTCGGTGCGGCAGAGAGCGGTTCATTCTGTTATGAAATCCTTCCAAATTGTTGTTCGTTCTTGGGCCTTGAGTCTCTCTTTATTTAGGTACTCCACTTAAGGTATCAGTTGACCCTTTCCATCTTGCGAGGGGATATTCGAATGAAAACATAGCATGCATCTTTAAACTTAATCCCGCTTGTACAGCAAGTACTAACATGACCCTCAAACTCTCCAGACCTAAACCCGATTGAAAATGGGATGCTCTTATTCTATGTTTGCTATGACGTCAGTCACAGTACCTCCAACATTTAGCACAAGTACTGTTGGAAGAGTGGATGAACATTTCCCAGGCCACAATTCGACGATGCCGGGCAGTTCTGGACCTGCATGGGGGTCTTACAAAATACTCAGAACAGATGACCTTCACCTTGATATGCAATGGTTTGATGTGTGTAATGGTGAGCCTCGGTCAGTGACAATGACTTGTGCCAAATGTGAACAATGTATATATTATGATTTGTTGGGTATTTATATAGTTCATGAAATATACATCTGAAAACAACCTTTGCGTTTCTTGCTTTGCATAGTATATTAGTTTCTTATACAGTACAACCAGAAATTATTGAGAATTTAAGATTGTAATTCTTCATATTTTTTTCACTCATTACTCACGTATTAAATGTGAATATTAGCAGAACATAACTCCAGATTCAAAGACAGGTGAACAGTTAGTATTTTGTCAAGTCACAATGGGCTTCAATGCAGGCTTCAATGCGGCGGGGCATACTTCTGATCAAAGAAGTCCCAATATCGGACCACCTCTTCTTTCATTTCAGCAATATTTGTCAGATTTTTCTTCTTGACACTTTCCTTCATAAGTCCCCAAATATTTCTATTGGATTTAGGTCAGGGCTATAGCTTAGCCAGTCTAATAATGTCATATTTTGGGTCCGAAACCAGGCCTGTGAATGCTTTGAACGATGTTTTGGGTCGTTGTCCTGCTGGAAACAAGAATACCAAGCCGCCTCCTGTCACCGACAGTCAATTTTCTGGGCCTACCTGCGCCTCCCTGGTGCTCAATGCCATATTCATTTGCAATATTTTTCAAAACACGATAAACAGTGGACAAAGTGATGCCTGTTCTACTTGAAATCACTTTAGCTGATCTGATGTCCTTGTTATAATACTCTAAAAGCAACTTCCTCTTCTCTAAATCATCCATACTGAGGATCACTGAAAATGTCGTTTGCTAGCAAGTAAACAAAGGGGGATAACTCTTCACAAACTAATGAAAAAGGATTAACGGTCAAGGTTGTTTATACTAGAAATCCAATTAAACATATTCCTAAAATTCTCAATAATGTCTGGTCACACTATACCATTATTCAAAATATACTGAACCGTTTCAGCTCTCTCCCAAGACTGGATAGACGAAGAGTCTCAGATCAATTCTTGACATTATATTTTGATTCTGTGTATTGACTGTACCGAACGGAATCATCCCATGAATATCACGTTCTTCGTGTGAGTTTGATGTGAGATAGATATTACGTTTGTTTATATCTAAAATGAGATGTAACAAAATATTTGATGATCACGGCATGCGCTGTAGCTATTTGTTCGATTACTTAACGTTTGCCTATTCTTGTTCTGTGTGCAACCTTGAACCTCCGGAATGTCTCTCTGTCACCTTTAACCCCCGGGGATGTCTCTTTGCCACCTTGAACCTCTGGGATGTCTCTCTGCTACCTTGAACCTCCGGGATGTTAGTTCGTTGCCTTTAACCTCCGGGATGTCTCTCTGCCACCTTGGACCTCCAGGGGCGTCTCTCTGCCACCTTAAACCTCCGGGATGTCTCTCTGCCACCTTGAACCTCCGGGGCGTCTCTCTGCCACCTTAAACCTCCGGGATGTTTCTCTGCCACCTTGAACCTCCGGGGATGTCTCTCTGTCACCTTAAACCTCTGGTTATGTTTCTCTGCCATCTTGAACCTCCGGGATGTCTCTCTGTCACCGTGGATCTCCGGGACGTCTCTCTGCCACCTTGAACCTCCGGGGATGTCTCTCTGTCACCTTAAACCTCTGGTTATGTTTCTCTGCCACCTTGAACCTCCGGGATGTCTCTCTGTCACCGTGGATCTCCGGGACGTCTCTCTGCCACCTTGAACCTCCGATTATGTTTCTCTGCCGCCTTAAACCTCCTTGGATAATTTTTGTTTCCTGTGCAACCTTGAACCTCCGATGATGTGTCTCTGTCACCTTGAACCTCCGGGATGTTTCTCTCCCACCTTGAACCTCTCGGGGCATGTCTTTGTGTCTCCTTGAACATGTTGAAGCCTAGTCCATGAGTATACCTTCTCACTTTAAATGCTATCGATTAGAGGATCCTTGACACAGGCTGAAAGTGCATTAAATAATCAATAGAGAAACTCACGTGAAAATAAGTCTCACTCACATTGTCGGCAGAGCTGTCGTCAGCAGGAGTGTATAAGATCAGCTGCCTGCCAGCTCGACCACAGCTCGCTTCAGACGTCAGGCACCGTGTTAATGATCTTACTTGTATTACTTGCCATCTCAAAAAAATGCTATCTAAACATATTGTTGACTTGCAAACAGGGTTTGTCTTCTTTCTACTTACTCTTGTGTGCGAGATAACACTTGGGTCACACACTTGTGGAACAGAGGAACGCATTTTGACAGGAAAATATTTACAAGATTCGAATTTCGGTCATGTGAAAGGCGTATCTCTATTCAGATGCGCTGCGGAATGTCTCAGTTATTCAATCTGTAGATCGTTCAACTTCAACAACGTAACAAGACTGTGCAGCCTCAATTTTGAAGACAATGAAAGAAGACCAGAACTCATCACTGACGATTTGTTTAACGTTTACAGCAACATCAAAGGGTGGCCTCAGGTTAGTATACATGTTTATTTGTTATCACGTCGTTGTTCTCTATCTTCACTTATAATTAGTTTAATCTTCAAGAACTGTTCATGAAAGAAACATGTATTTATGGTAGGTGAATAGTCAATTCGCTCATCAGGCATCAAAACGATTTTTAAAATATGAAGGCACGCAATATTCTTCGCAGGTTTAAGGTGGCACAGAAACATTCTCTGGGGTTCAATGTGGCACAGAAACATATTGGAAGATTGAAGGTGGTACAAACAAAACACTTGCAGGTTCAAGGTGGCACAGACACATCCTCGGAAGTTCTAGGCGGCGCAGGGCGGGGTGTAAATATTACTTACAGAAGACTAAAGTTTGGGAATAGATTCTTAGGAAGAATGCGCACCGAGTACCTTTTGTTTGTCTTAATCAGTGAACTGTTGAAAAATGAGTGGACTGGCAAGATGACATGACTATTGTCATCCAGGCAACCAGCCATCAGGCAACCAAGATGTGGGTTTTAATGAAGCTGATGGTCTTCATTCAGTCCCATGTTCTAGCATGTATTCACCGTTAGGGTATTCGTCACATTGAATGGCAATCCATATTTCCTCTTGAGACATGTATTCTTATCAAAATAACTTAAAAAGGCAAATTGAAAGAACAAAGAAATTATACATTTGTTGGGTGTCCTTCAAACAATAGTCAAAGTAGACCTACTGAAATATTGCAGCTCCAAAAACATGTTTTGCAACACGTAGAAATATTTTCCACGGTCTAATCATTAAAGGCATACGTTTGATATTCATGTATGGTTTTCCTATTTTAAGAACTTGTATCAAGACAAAAGCACTGTGTCTGATCATGCCGAGCCCCATATTAGTGAATGTTATTTTGATTATGACGTTGATGACATAACATGTACTATATTAGATTCACCCATTACTAGGGACGAAATATCTGAGGCTATTCTTAAGCTTAAATCTTCAAAGTCGCCTGGTGAAGATAATTTATTGCCGGAGTTTTTTAAGCATTCAATGGATATTTTATTACCGTATATGGCGCTATTGTTCAATATTATGTTCGAGTCCTCCACTTTTCCAGACAGCTGGAGTACAGCAATTATTGTACCTTTATTTAAGAAGGGTGATCGTAATGATCCAAATAATTACAGGGGAATATCCCTTCTTAGTACTTTCAGTAAAATATATACATCTGTACTTAACAATAGAATAGCATTTTGGGCAAATACATACGAAAAGGTTGTGGAATCACAAGCAGGGTTTAGGGAAGGTTATAGTACAATTGATAATATTTTTATTCTACAATCTGTTATCCAACGTTATCTATGTAAGAAAAAGGGGAAGTTCTATGCTATATTTGTCGATTTCAAAAAGGCTTTTGATTTTGTTAACAGGGATAAACTATGGGCCACTCTCAAATATAGAGGCGTTTCACCTAAGATGCTTAAAGCCTTAACTTCTATCTATAAGTGTGTTAAGGGACAGGTGCGTGATATTTCTCTCTCTCAGTTGTTTAATTGCCCACAGGGTTTGCGACAAGGGTGTGTTTTAAGCCCGCTATTGTTCTCATTCTTTATCAATGAATTAGCTCTAGAAATTGAATCCACATGTTACCCAGGTGTACAGCTTCACCCTGATGTTGTACAAATGTTCCTACTACTTTTTGCTGATGATATTGTACTTTTTGCAGACTCTGTATTTGGTTTACAAAAACGTATAAATATTTTAGAAAGTTTCTGTAAAAGTCATCAATTAACTGTTAACTTGGAAAAAACCAAGATTGTTGTATTTAAAAATGGTTGTAAATTATCAAAATATGAAAAATGGCATTTCAATGGAATTCTTTTGGAAACTGTTTCATCTTACAAATATTTGGGTATTTTATTTGCACGTTCTCTATCTTGGTCTCCCCATGTGAATAACGCTGCTTTGCAAGCTAAGAAAATGGCATACGGAATTCTAAAATCTCTTTATACGTTTAATCCACTTCCTTATGATTTATTTTTTAAGATATTTGATACAAAAATTACTCCGATTCTTTTATATGGAGCTGAAATATGGGGAGTTGATAACTTTAAAGAAGTCGAAGTTGTACATATGTTTTGTTGTAAACGTTTTTTAAATGTCAAACGGTCGACTTCGAACCATGTAGTTAGGGGAGAATGTGGCCGTTATCCAATGTATGTATGTATATATAAAAAGTTGTTAAATATTGGTGTAAAATATGCAAAATGCCCGATTCCAGATTTGTAAAGAAATGTTATAACATGTTAGTTTTAGACTCTGTAAATGGTAAAACAAACTGGGCATCAAAAATTAAGAATATTCTTTACTCTTTGGATTTGGCTTTATGTGGGAACAGCAGCAAAATTTATGTAATGTCGATAAATTCATATCAGAATTTGTTTTAGATTAAGAGCAAGTTATGAACAAGAATGGCACACATCGCTTTTAAATAGTCCTAAATTTTCACTTTATTCTTGTTTCAAAATCTCATTTAATGTTGAATTTTACATAAAAGACTTATCAATTTCAAAATTCTGATCGGCCCTTGCTAAATTCAGATGTTCTTCACACCGCCTCCAAATTGAAACCGGTCGCTATATTAATCAACCCAGATCAAATAGATTATGTTTTGTATGTAAAGATAACTTTATTGAAAATGAATTCCATTTTATTTTGGTATGTAAATGTTATCAAAATCTGAGATGTTTGTATTTACCACATAACTTTTATTCGAATCCCACTATTCATAAGTTCAATATGCTCATGTCAACTGGCAATCCATATACTGTAAGAAACCTAGCTATTTATATACACAATGCAATGAAACTTAGAGATTCACTTCTTTGCCAATAATATCATACTTCCTTTTGTATACTTTGTAAATTAACTTATTGTCTTCTAAACTATATATGCTCATATGTACCGCTCTGAAATCCTGAAGTGTAGCCTGGACCTATGGCCTCCACTACAAAGAAAATAAAGATTCAAAAGGCATACGTTTAGAGCTGCTATGAAAATACCAACACTGCTGTGGCATATTACATTTATCTGAGTCTCATGAAGACATTTACTGTAAACCATTAAATGCATTATTCACAGGTAAAGGTATTCTATTTATGTAGTTAGGTCTGGTTTCTTTTTCTTTTCCAGCTTATCTCGGGGCCATGTAAGGAAAAGGAGTGCGGAACGCACGAAAAATGCACTGTCACAAGACTGGGCACGCCCACATGTGGTAATATTACAAAATATATAATTATCATTGTTGATATTACCATTGTTGATTCATGTTCTGCGCACGACTATCCAGACCTGGTGCAAACTCCTTCTGTTGTCAATGTGCGTGAGCTACCTCTTGATTCTCAGAGGTGGGCAGGGGAGCGGGTTTGGGGTACCTGATGTAGAATATAGAAAATGTGTCATTTAGCAGACGGTATGTAGTCAACAAAGCGAGATATCGATTTTTATATGACAGCTGCTTATACTGGAACCTGGCCAAGGTTATTTAAGCTTTGGTGGTACTGGGGACAAGAAGAAACATCTACTGAAATTCTGACAATATCATGAGTATGTGTTTGTTTGACGCCACAGTCAGCAGTAGTACAGCGGTAGTGATGTTGCCAGGTGTTCGCGAAAAGGTGGCACCCGTCATAAACATATGCAGAAGTTCGTCAACTGTTCCTCTGAATAGGAGCGACAAAACCCTTTCCACATTCATATGAAATCGATTGTACAATTGTGACTATAACATGAGCAGATATTACTGTTTCAGCAGCATTACAGCTGTATGATATTGTGTGTAAACATATCGGGTCTAAACCAGACAATCCAGTGATTGTCACCATGCGATACGATGACAGAGCATGTGGTTATGAATCACTAGAGAACAGTGATGATACCAGGTGTTCGCGAAAAGGTGAGCATACCCTGCCCGCCGGTGGCACCCGCCATAAACATATGCTAAGTCTAGTGATTTTTTCACCTGAAAGGAAATTAGGAACGTAAAGCAACAAGTCAAAATAGGGACTTGAATTGGATATCATTTTAGTCACTGATGCATCAAATTTTGAAATTTCCGCTCCATAAAACATTTGGAAAACATTACTGAGGCCTTGACTGTTGTAACCGTCATCGAACATCTTCTGAACACGAGTCGTGTGGTGCTCTTTGAAATCTTGGCAATAAAAGGCACCAGTGACCTTCAAAAGCCAAGTCCAGATCCGACCATAATTGTTCTCACTGAAAGAAGTGTAAAACATCAGCGTTCTGGTGCCTCGGGAATATTGGTCGTTAGGCTTGGCTGGCTGTTCTTCTTCTAGGAAAGGGAATCTTTCGGTATAGACGCCATTTGCCTTGGGAATAAACCGAGGAAGCACACTATCGGCAGAAACTCCGGAGTTCGAGTTCAGTAGGCAATCTGGTCTGATATCCCGTCACTTAAGAACAGTACATAGAGGCCCCCAACCAGAAGTACCTGCAAGGTCTCAAAACAGAACACAACAGGAACACATGCAAACAGCTTCTAGTTACGGCTATGGTAAGGCACTGAATGACCGAGAATCCACGGTGTGTATGATGGCATCAAGAACGCGATCTCAACTCAAAGCAAGGCGGCGACTATAAAATTTGCAGTGACCGAGGCAAGTTGATGGGAAAATGGGTTGAGCTCCACCCCAAGGTCATGAGATGTTGAGATGATGTCTTGCGAAACAACACCTGAGAGTGTGGAAAGGGAGTCCTTCTTAGCCACCTGCTAGAAGTTCTGTATCAGTTCTGGTATAAGGGACTGGTGCCCAAGTACATGGGAGAATCCAATGTCCTTACCTTGTGTAAGTGTGAAGGAACGATTGCAACAACTATTCAGTGATCGCTTTGCTCAGCCTCATGTAAACCCCATGGTCCTGAAGAAACAACAGAAACTGATAGGGTGTATCCACGGTGTGCCTGGTAACGAGTTATTTCACCCCAAACACGTTCACACAGTTTCACCCCGGGCTGTTTCACCCTGGTTATTTCACCCCAAACACGTTCACACATTTTCACCCCGGGCTGTTTCACCCTGGTTATTTCACCCCAAACACGTTGACACAGTTTCACCCCAGGCTGTTTCACCCTGGTTATTTCACCCTAAACACGTTGACACAGTTTCACCCCAGGCTGTTTCACCCTGGTTATTTCACCCCAAACACGTTCACACACTTTCAGCCCAGGCTGTTTCACCCTGCTTATTTCACCCCAAACACGTTCACACAATTTTACCCCAGGCTGTTTCACCATGGTTATTTCACCCCAAACACATACACACAGTTTCACCCCAGGCTGTTTCACCCTGGTTATTTCACCCCAAACACGTTCACACACTTTCAGCCCAGGCTGTTTCACACTGCTTATTTCACCCCAAACACGTTGACACAGTTTCACCCCAGGCTGTTTCCCCATGGTTATTTCACCCCAAACACGTTGACACAGTTTCACCCCAGGCTGTTTCACCCTGCTTATTTCACCCCAAACACGTTCACACAATTTTACCCCAGGCTGTTTCACCATGGTTATTTCACCCCAAACACATACACGCAGTTTCACCCCAGGCTGTTTCACCCTGGTTATTTCACCCCAAACACGTTCACACACTTTCACCCCAGGCTGTTTCACCCTGGTTATTTCACCCCAAACACGTTCACACAGTTTCAGCCCAGGCTGTTTCACCATGGTTATTTCACCCCAAACACGTTGACACACTTTCACCCCAGCCTGTTTCACCCTGGTTATTTCACCCCAAACACGTTCACGCAATTTTACCCCAGGCTGTTTCACCATGGTTATTTCACCCCAAACACATACACACAGTTTCACCCCAGGCTGTTTCACCCTGGTTATTTCACCCCAAACACGTTCACACAGTTTCACCCCAGGCTGTTTCACCCTGGTTATTTCACCCCAAACACGTTCACACAGTTTCACCCCAGGCTGTTTCCCCATGGTTATTTCACCCCAAACACGTTCACACAGCTTCACCCCGGGCTGTTTCACCCGGGATGTTTCACCCCACACAGCTTCACCTCAGGTTGTTTTACCCTGGTTATTTCACCCTAGGAAATAATTATTATAATTATCAACTATAAAATTGTTTCAATATTTTATTCATCTATGTATAGTGTCGAAACAGCAAATTCAGATTGTTTGAATAAATCAGTTAATATTGGCTGCGTAGGATCGGATGAAGTCCTTCAGTGACGATAGCAAGTAGCTGCCTTGGACAGGAACGAGTGTGGAGAGTTCCTAGTCTGTGTACTGTGTCCAGAGGTGAAAACGCGTATCGTGGATCGTCTTGAATTTCTGCCTGTTGATAGAAGACCATTCTGAACCAAGTGCACTTTGGTTTTCACTTGGTCAGCCCCACATCCCAAAAGTGGCACAAGAACATAAAATGGCCCTAAACGATCAGTATGGCAAGCTCACCAAAGCTGCGAGACATTGTCTCTCGTCGCCAACTGTGGCAGGGAATCAGAAGTGGTCAGACCAAATTCAACAAGTTGCTAAAGAAAAATGACAGAAGAACAGGCAAAGAATAATGTCAGTTATTCCACCTGAACGTGCAGACACTGGAACAGGGACTTCAGTTCTCATGTAGGCATTTAGTGCTGCAACTGTTTTCCTACTCTGTAAACTTTCTGGACATGAAGGGTCAAAGAGATTGTGCACAGATTGTCCAACTTAATACATGTACATACAGCGGACACGTGTGTTGAATACGCGTGAACGTTGAAACACATGCTGATGAAGTACAAGCAAATAGTAACATTATTTATTAATTCAATAAGATTACAAACACTATTTCTGCCATGAATGATGTATACAATGTATCTGGTTAGTGGTAAATTACATTAAAATCGACTACATGTTGTAAAATAAAAATGTCAATCAAATCTCTTTGTTGACACGACATATTTTTACACAATTACTTTCTGTCAATTTCTGTGTGTAAAAGACCTTCCTTTGGTATGGTTATGTTGGAAAAATTATAGTCCTTTCTGAACATGAAGACAAGAAATTCTGACCTCAAGCCTAACCCACCTACACCCACTATCCCCATTTATACATACATATATTGATAACTGTATTGTCAAACAACATTCACAGACTGACTCGTTCATCATTTAACCATTATGGGGGGTTTATTGTTATACCAGACTAACCTGTTTTATTGTTATACCAGAATAACCTCTATTATTGTTATACCAGAATAACCACTTTTATTGTTATACCAGAATAACCTCTTTCATTGTTATACCAGAATAACCTCTTTTATTGTTATACCAGCATAACCTTTTTTATTGTTATACCAGCATAACCTCTTTTATTGCCATACCAGAATAACCTCTTTCATTGTTATAGCAGAATAACCTCTTTTATTGTTATACCAGAATAACCTCTTTCATTGGTATAGTAGAATAACCTCTTTTATTGGTATAGCAGAATAACCTCTTTTATTGGTATAGAAGAATAACCTCTTTTATTGGTATAGCAGAATAACCGCTTTCATTGTTATAGCAGAATAACCCCTTATTGTTATACCAGAATAACCTCTTTTGTTGTTATACCAGCATAACCTCTTTTATTGTTATACCAGCATAACCTCTTTTATTGCCATACCAGAATAACCTCTTTCATTGTTATAGCAGAATAACCTCTTTTATTGTTATACCAGAATAACCTCTTTTATTGTTATACCAGCATAACCTCTTTTATTGTTATACCAGCATAACCTCTTTTATTGCCATACCAGAATAACCTCTTTCATTGTTATAGCAGAATAACCTCTTTTATTGTTATACCAGAATAACCTCTTTTATTGCCATACCAGAATAACCTCTTTCATTGGTATAGCAGAATAACCTCTTTTATTGTTATACCAGCATAACCTCTTTTATTGTTATACCAGAATAACCTCTTTTATTGCCATACCAGAATAACCTCTTTCATTGTTATAGTAGAATAACCTCTTTCATTGTTATAGCAGAATAACCTCTTTTATTGTTATTCCAGAATAACCTCTTTTATTGCCATACCAGAATAACCTCTTTTATTGCCATACCAGAATAACCTCTTTTATTGCTATACCAGAATAACCTCTTATAGCAGAATAACCTCTTTTATTGTTATACCAGCATAACCTTTTTTATTGTTATACCAGCATAACCTCTTTTATTGTTATACCAGAATAACCTCTTTTATTGCCATACCAGAATAACCTCTTTCATTGTTATAGCAGAATAACCTCTTTTATTGTTATTCCAGAATAACCTCTTTTATTGTTATACCAGCATAACCTTTTTTATTGTTATACCAGCATAACCTCTTTTATTGTTATACCAGAATAACCTCTTTTATTGCCATACCAGAATAACCTCTTTCATTGTTATAGCAGAATAACCTCTTTTATTGTTATTCCAGAATAACCTCTTTTATTGTTATACCAGAATAACCTCTTTTATTGTTATACCAGCATAACCTCTTTTATTGTTATACCAGCATAACCTCTTTTATTGCCATACCAGAATAACCTCTTTTATTGTTATACCAGCATAACCTCTTTTATTGTTATACCAGAATAACCTCTTTCATTGTTATACCAGAATAACCTCTTTTATTGTTATACCAGCATAACCTCTTTTATTGTTATACCAGAATAACCTCTTTTATTGTTATACCAGAATAACCTCTTTTATTGTTATACCAGAATAACCTCTTTCATTGTTATACCAGAATAACCTCTTTTATTGTTATACCAGAATAACCTCTTTTATTGTTATAGCAGAATAACCTCTTTTATTGTATACCAGAATAACCTCAGAATAACCTCTTTTATTGTTATACCAGAATAACCTCTTTTATTGTTATACCAGAATAACCTCTTTTATTGTACCATTGAATAACCTCTTTATAGCAGAATAACCTCTTTTATTGTTATAGCAGAATAACCTCTTTTATTGTTATAACCTCATTGTTAATAACCTCTTTTATTGTTATAGCAGAATAACCTCTTTTATTGTTATAGCAGAATAACCTCTTTTATTGTTATACCAGCATAACCTCTTTTATTGTTATACCAGCATAACCTCTTTCATTGTTATAGCAGAATAACCTCTTTTATTGTTATGCCAGAATAACCTCTTTTATTGTTATACCAGCATAACCCCTTTTATTCCAGAAAACAGCGGATTGTATGGTCGGACATACACATCGCAATTCATTGTTTCCACTAATAAACTGACGTGGAATGAGTCAGTTGAAGAATGTTCCGAAACGTATGAAACTTTAGCCATAGTCAACACAGCCAGTAGGTATGAGCAAGCAACGAGAGCCGTCGAAGGAAAAGGTAATTATGTTTTTGGTTTTGTTAAAACACTACTGTTTGGTTAACTTGTACAATATGTTATCTGGAGACAATCAATCTATCCCTGACTTTCTTTGCACAGTCGAACCACTCGACTCTGATTCGAATGTGTTGAATCTTCAGTTGTGTCAATGACAGTTTGGTTCCGTCAAATTGGTAGTGTCCAACTGGTAGTCCTAACTTCAAACGATTTTGTTTGTTGTTCGTTGTTTGTTGGTTAACGCTGCACTCAGCAATATTCCGGCTATACGGCGGTGGTAAATTCAACTAAAACTACCTAGCCACTTAAATAGTAACTAGGCGCAGGTAAGAGTGAGTGAGTGAGTGAGTTTAGTTTTACGCCGCACTCAGCAATATTCCAGCTATATGGCGGCGGTCAGTAAATAATCAGGTCTGGACCAGACAATCCAGTGATCAACATCATGAGCATCGATCTGCGCAATTGGGAACCGATGACATATGTCAACCAAGTCAGCGAGCCTGACCACCCGATCCCGTTAGTCGCCTCTTACGACAAGCATAGTCGCCTTTTGTGGCAAGCATGGGTTGCTGAAGACCCCGGATCTTCACGGGTCCGCAGGTAAGAAGTTCGACCATGTAAATAATATTTATATAGATTATAAATGTAAATGAGGCATATAATTTATAAATGCTGGGGCAGTAGGGTAGCCTAGTGGTTAAAGCGTTGGCTCGTCACGTCCCCCGCCGTAATATTGCGGGAATATTGATACAGGCGGCGTAAAACCATAACTCAGTTACTCAATCATACATAAATGCTGTTTACATAATTTGCACGATATGTTATGATTGCTTTCCGTCGTTGTCTGATGGCTAAGTCAGAAGGTAATTAAGTCGAATCTGATGTAAAGTACCCGGTTAAAACTCGGTATTTTCTAGCCTCTGTTACCTTAATACCAATCATAGAAGTTCATATTTGTATCGTCCTGATTTGGATGTACACATACTGTAGTCAGTGACTGTCAATGAAGCTATCTAATCAGAAGCTGCTTGTCCACCTGTGTCCAGACAAGGTGTATCTGTGCTTATATTGTACATGAGTCTACCCGTGTAGTTCCGGGTTACAATTGATCTTTAGCAACCATACTTGTCGTGAGAGGCGACTAACAGGATCGGGTGGTGGTCAGGCTCGCTGACTTGGTTGTCACATGTCATCGTATTCCAGTTGCGTAGATCGATGCTTGTTGATCACAGGATTGTCTGGTCGAGACTCGATTATGTACAGACCGCCGGCATATAGCTGGAATAGTGCTGATCACGGCGTTAAACAAAAAACCAACCAATTCAGTGAGTGGATTTGCTGGTCTTTATCTGATTATTCATAGGCGACCTCAATATACATGAAGATCATTTCTACTAATATAAAAATATCAAATGATGTGTATGTTCAAAACTGTGCCTCGTATCCAATGACCAATGGCAGACAAATCTGACAATGTATGTTAGTAATTACTCCCTTCTCATTACCGGCGTTTATGGTCTCAGGTACCAAAGACTTTGTGTGGCTTGGTGCTTCTGATAGAAAAACCGAAGGTACGTGGACGTGGGTGGATGGACAACCGATGGGGACTGACAGATGGGCGAGACACGACAATCAGCCAAATAACTTCAATGAGCAGGATTGTCTGGCTTATAAGGTCAAAAATAATCAAAGCAACAGATGGTATGATAATTCATGCAGTAACAAACACTATTTTATGTGCGAAAAGTATGTTTTACTAAAGTAGAAGCGAATCCAAATACAATAGTTTGATTGTTTTGAGCCTCTTACGACTCAAAGTCAACATGTATGGCGTGATATTTTCTCTATTTTCTCCACCTGTCCCATCGGCCTAAAAAAAGGTGATGGCACAGATCTGCAGAAGAGATTCGAATGCGATTTTTCAAAAGAGTCATTAAGAGCACATTTATATTGTGCAAACTGGAATGATGTTTGATGTATGTGTAACTTCTCTTGGAGCTGAACATATAGTTTGTCAGCATGGGCACCCAGGAACAATTGTGTCCCCAACGCCTCATTACTTGGAATAGGAGTAGACTGGATGAGGAAACTCAGCCGTGGGACTCTCGGCAGAGAGTCTGGTGACTCAGAACATTCCGCTTCTAAATGGGTTAGAATTGATATTCACATATTCTGCACGATACGATATGCCCATAAATACTTTTTAACAAATTTGCTTTTAAAATAGATGTTGTTTCTTTTTAGCGTTTTTCCTTCTGATGAATTTTCAATTGCCCATGTAGTGGCTGTGATTAGTTGCTGAACTGCCAGAAGCAGCCAGGGGACATGCGCACTGGAGTTTTCATTTAACAACAGTTTCAGTGAATAAAGTTTCCCGCACGGTGTCCTCTTGTTCCTGTCTGTTGGCCAGGGGAACAATTCCAAAACTACAACACACACACGCGCACGCGCACGCGCACACACACACACACACACTTTCTAAAACATCCTGGATCCTATGTGTTTGAAACGGCGGCCAGGGAAGCATGGCATGTTTGACTAACACCTCTTGGTATAATGCTGCATCCTGCACCATCTTTCTGTAGCCATGACGCCGGAGGTAGAGGAAGAGGGAAGAGGAATAGAAAAAAAAATGTCACAAACATGTTTGTATCCATTAATAGGAAACAGTGAAACAAGAGATTTATTTTCCAAATCAGAAATCGACACGCAGCATGGTTCTTTCGGGGTTCGAAGGATTTACGTTTATTGTGTACTTATATATTTCCACCCAAAGCGGGATTCACAGAATGTTTGTCAAATCTCGTACATCCAAAGCGGGATACAATTAATAATATATGTATTTATTTCTTAATAGGCCAACGGCCAACACGAAAAATACTTTGTACATACTATCAAAAGCGCATTGCCAACATTTGCCTCCCCTTACAAAGACCTAAAAAAGAAATTAAACATTCATGAATAATTCAGATTATAGTTTTGTTTTACCTGAAATATATGACAAACAAGTGTGGCTAAGTTGAAGGTTAATACTTCAACTTTGGTTTGTAAAAGATTTATGAACTTCATTATGTTTGAAGACTTGTATACGTCCAGAGGTAAATAGCGACATCTAAATGTCAAATACTTAGGACAAACCATGATAACATGATATTCATCCTCTATGTCATTATTGCAAAAAGGACATAAATGGTTTTCTAAAGCTAATTTTGGTCGAGCCCACCTTCCTTTCTCAATCATAAGTGAATGAGAAGATAATCGTAAGCGTGTCAAGGCTATAGATTACAATGTCGATTTGAGATCAATACTTTTCCATGGTAAGTGATGATTTGATAAGCGAATATATTCTTGTTTCTCTAAGTGAACTTAAATTATTTTCCACATTTGTGAATGTATGTTAATAACCCTTTGTCTAAAAGCACTTATAAATCCTGCACGATTTAGAGTCAGTTTCTGTTGTAACCAAATAAAACCATATTCATAATGAAACAACAAGTCTCTAATGAGAGTAACCCATGTCGTATATGTTGGATGCTGCCAAGCGTTGTCGACTAGAGCCCTGTATATAATGCTTATATATCGGTTTCCGTCACAGGTGATAATCTTAATCCAATATTTCACAATGCGTACCAATCTAATAGTAATCAATGGCAGTACGCCCATTTCACCATAGACAAAAGCTGATGGTGTTGAACTTTTAACACGCAGAACCTGCTTAATAAACTTTAAGTGGACTCTTTCGATGGATGGCCCTTCCATAGATCCCCAAACTTCACAACCATAGCATAAACTTGGCAGTATTAAACAATTGATACTGCTGTGCAGGGGACACATATGGATTGGACAACAATATTCGTTGTAACGAAAATAAGGATTTCGTGCCTGGGAAAAACTACCTGTTGCTGAGAAAATAATACCCAAATATTTGAAACTATTAACATTTTCTAGTACCTGATCGCCATAATACCAGATTTCTCTCATGGACAATCTACCCCTTTTCTGAAAATAACAACCTTAGTTTTATCTGTTTTAACAGTGATGGCCCACATGTCGCAATATCTCTGTAGGAAACCAAGACCTCGCTGTTAGCCCTCAATAGATCACTGAACAAGACCTCGATGTTAGCCCTCAATAGATCACTGAACAAGACCACGCTGTTAGCCCTCAATAGATCACTGAACAAGACCACGCTGTTAGCCCTCAATAGATTCACTGAACAAGACCATGTTGTTAGCCCTCAATAGATTCACTGAACAAGACCATGTTGTTAGCCCTCAATAGATTCACTGACCAAGACCAATAGATCACTGAACAAGACCACGCTGTTAGCCCTCAATAGATCACTGAACAAGACCACGCACACTGAACAAGACCATGTTGTTAGCCCTCCACTGAACAAGACCATGTTGTTAGCCCCTCAATAGATCACTGACCATGTTGTTAGCCCCTCAATAGAACACGCTGTTAGCCCTCAATAGATCACTGAACAAGACCACGCTGTTAGCCCTCAATAGATTCACTGAACAAGACCATGTTGTTAGCCCTCAATAGATTCACTGAACAAGACCATGTTGTTAGCCCTCAATAGATTCACTGAACAAGACCATGTTGTTAGCCCTCAATAGATTCACTGAACAAGACCACGTTGTTAGCCCTCAATAGATTCACTGAACAAGACCATGTTGTTAGCCCTCAATAGATTCACTGAACAAGACCAGCCCTCAATAGATTCACTGAACAAGACCATGTTGTTAGCCCTCAATAGATTCACTGAACAAGACCATGTTGTTAGCCCTCAATAAATTCACTGAACAAGACCACGTTGTTAGCCCTCAATAGATTCACTGAACAAGAACAAGACCACGTTGTTAGCCCTCAATAGATTCACTGAACAAGACCACGTTGTTAGCCCTCAATAGATTCACTGACCAAGACCATGTTGTTAGCCCTCAATAAATTCACTGAACAAGACCATGTTGTTAGCCCTCAATAAATTCACTGAACAAGACCATGTTGTTAGCCCTCAATAGATTCACTGAACAAGACCATGTTGTTAGCCCTCAATAGATTCACTGAACAAGACCATGTTGTTAGCCCTCAATAGATTCACTGAACAAGACCATGTTGTTAGCCCTCAATAAATTCACTGAACAAGACCACGTTGTTAGCCCTCAATAGATTCACTGAACAAGACCACGTTGTTAGCCCTCAATAGATTCACTGAACAAGACCATGTTGTTAGCCCTCAATAGATTCACTGAACAAGACCACGTTGTTAGCCCTCAATAGATTCACTGAACAAGACCATGTTGTTAGCCCTCAATAGATTCACTGAACAAGACCACGTTGTTAGCCCTCAATAAATTCACTGAACAAGACCATGTTGTTAGCCCTCAATAGATTCACTGAACAAGACCATGTTGTTAGCCCTCAATAGATTCACTGAACAAGACCACGTTGTTAGCCCTCAATAGATTCACTGACCAAGACCATGTCATCAGCAAATAGTAACATAAACAACTTAATGTAAAACACTGCCATGCCAATATCATTGCAAGCAGAGAAATCAGACACAATATCATTAATAAACAATGAAAATGATATGGGCGATACATTTTCCCATTGCCTGACACCTATATTTGATGAAAAGAACTCCGAATACCTATTTCCAGGATGTTTAACACAAGAGGGCACATCCATGTATATATTTTGAATTAATGATAGAAATTTAGAACTAATACCCAAAGAATAGAGTTGACACAAAAGAACTTGCCTAACAAAATAGTCAAATGCCTTTCGAAAATCCACAAAAGCATAATATAATTTCACCCCTTTACTCAAGTCAAGATTTATCAATGCGTGAAGAATAAACATACACAGATTTTTATCGAGATCTCATGAACCAATCAGCTCTCAACATTCTGAGATATGATTAATGTAACAACCTATCATCATCATTATGTTTAATCAAGCTGAGCGGAAATGGGGCCAGGCACGGCCTTCAAAATTGCTATAATTATACATCGACGTAAGTGTGTGTGTAGATGCCGGTGTGTGTGTGTGTGTGTGTGTGTGTGTGTGTGTGTGTGTGTGTGTGTGTGTGTGTGTGTGTGTGTGTGTGTGTGTGTGTGTGTGTGTGTGTGTGTGTGTGTGTGTGTGTGTGTACATGCCGGTGTGTGTGTGCGTGTATGCCTGTCTGCTGGTAGTCATCATAGATTATTTTAACGAATCTGATTTTAATACGTGATTTTTCCTCTCCTGTGATACTGCTGAAACACATTTTGAACACATCAGACACAATTTGAGAACCTGCAACTACTACTAAATAGACAGGAGAAGCCAGGCACCGTCAGACAGACAGTGTAGGAGCTGGAAGACTACTGCTGTTGTAGTTCAGGCCTATTCGTGCAATGAAAGTCTGTTGATACAGTGCTCTTCTTGACCATATAAGCTTCGATAAACCTGAACTTATATGGTATTGTACATCTTCCCGATATAATGTTGTGCAGGCATAGTCAACGCAGATCTACAAATGCGAGTAGATTGTTCCACAAAGCCTTTTACAAAATGGTCAAAAGAAATAGATGGATGAATTCGGTATTTCTCTTCCTCGGTAAATGATTCCCACAAACTACTTTGAGTACAATGTTGACAAACTTTATGGTTACGAAATAAAAGAAGTTGTTATCCATAACGTTTAATTTGTGAATATTGCAACGAATACTGTTTTGTTGTTGAAAGTTTGCATTTACTTTATAGCAATGTGTGATAAGCCAAAGCATTCGCTGAACGGGATAGATTCGACACACAAATACCTAACTGCTTGCACTGGATCAATGTATGTGATCATAAAGTTTTAATGGAGAAGGTCTGCCAGTACGTGCTAAGCACCGTGAAATTCATTGCAACAAGAACCGTTGATGACGCAGTTTATTTATTTATGATTTCTTTTCATGGTGGACACTCAACACTCTCGGGGGCTAATAATGGACTCGGGAACAAAGTACACAATGACTGATGTATAATGTGCCAAACACTACCAACATATACACTATACATCAACTTAAACAGCATCTCATAGTCCGTCCCTATAGACATAAGTGTGTCAGTTCAACTCATACATATGTGATTTCATTTATCCATCCCGTCCCTTGTGGCTATTTGTTGCCAACGCTTGCTACGTCACCTGAACACCTAAGCAAAGGACAGAGCTAACTTGATCACAAATGAAACATACAGCTTTATGATGACAATTCCTTCTTTATTGCATAGAATTTAAACAATATTGTATTTCCATTAATGTTCACATTTTACACATGACATAACATAACAAAATGGAGAAAGGAAAATCAAACAGGCTAAAAGGCCTATATCAACGCTCCTC